ATTTCACATTGAAGCATTGCTAGCTTCCTGTGAAAATCCACTTCTCAAATGATTGTAACAACAGCATACAAATCCACACATTAATACGAGTACCCACAGAAATGAATATCCACCAACAGGACACTTTCCCAATTTAGTTTTAAAGGAGCCATGAGGAATACTTTGTAGGCTCAGGAGTGAAGGCAGTAGACAGGCCACTTTACTATTTGGGAACAGGTACCACGTATTCTGAAATGGCAGCATTTTCATGATTTCAGCAAAGACAAAGTATGCCCTATGTGTATCTCATGGGGCCTTGGAGTAAAGCCAAAGTCCACAGCGCTGGAGTTCTGAGGGTTAAATCATCATATACTATCAACCAGAACAACACAGCGATTCAAATCATTTGCCCCCAAAGCAATTTTGAAATAAACTCAAGGAAAGCTGGTTAGAACAAGTCTACCTCTGTTTTTAGGAAGTTAAAAAAGTGGAAATTTAGTTTTTCAGAGCCACTCTGAAGTATACATGTAAACAAATGTAGTGTCTAATTATTAGAAATGTTTCTTTAATAATAGGTCCTTTACGTTCTTTTAAGGCAGGTTTTCTGCCATATATTTAAAACACTTATTGCTAACCTGGAGAAGAGCAACATAACAAATCATCCAAGTGAGTTAGTCCTTAACTCCAAAAGAAGCTGCGTGCTGAAAGCATCAGTTAGTATTTTTTAGGTACTTTATAAATTTCAATTTATATTTAAAGAGAAGTCAGTCTTGCTCAGAAAGCCTGAGACATCCTGGCTTATTAACTATTTTTTTAAGTCACTTAATGGGGAGCAACTGGAACAGACTACACAGGGCTGATGGTAATCAAATAAATACACCTATTAAAAATCCATGTACCCCTGGCTCTGAGGGATTTTGGTATTCATCAGTGAAATCCCTTTTAACAACTACATTCGATTCCCCACAATCATTCATGCTCACAAACATCCAAACCAAAAGTAGACAAATATTTTCATCCTGTATTAAGCGAGATTATAAAGGCCTGGGCATGATAATGAAGTGAGAAACATTTGCTGGCATACCGTGGTGGTGTAAAAATAGTAATAACCTTGGACAAGAGAAAGTTGAGTCCACTCGGAGCGAGAGTTGCTTTCTGAACTAGAAATGAAATCAATATCTGCAAAATTGGAAGAAGACGCAACCTAAAATGATATTTACCTTGAAATTTATAAGACAGAAAGCATTTCTTGTATGAAGACTTTAATCTTTTCAAATGCATAATGGCATCATATTTGCCACTGAGGTCATGTTGAAATATTAAGCTCTGCTTTGCTTAATTGCTCAAACTGTACTTCTGAAAGAGGTAAATGTTACAAATATTTGTTGAAATCAGTTGAAATGTGTGGTATTTAACCAGTTTAAACTAATTAGCCACTAGGTCATAACCATTTCCATTTATCTTATTTCTCTGGGGAAAAACAACATTGTAATAAAACTGGAAGGATGATCATACAACCCATGCAGCTGTCTTTAAAACCACCTACTCATCCACAGGGCCATAACCAGGGGCTTTGCCCTTTGGTAAGTAACATGGTAATTCTTACAGGCTTTTTGGGTAATAAATTCTGGGAGTCAGTGAGGAGACGATTTTTACTTTATGCTGCTTGAACTGCAGAACAGATACAGAAAACCACTTCATTTATTATAGTGATGGAATGCAAATAGAGCCCAGTGGTCTAAGAGCTGCAGGGCTGAGACCACAAAGACACTTATGTTTAGCTCCTATGCCTTTTGGCGATTACACTTGAAACTAAGTACTGATACAATATTTAGCAATTCTGTTATATTTTCTGAAATAATGGCTATTTGTACATAGACAACTGCTTAACGTCCTGTTTCACAGTCCTTAAAAAAAAAAAAAAGAAAAAATCAAAGCTTATTTACTGGAATATAATCAAGGATCCTATAATTCAAAGACAGTTAATCCTAATTTTGCAGGTGCCCTTATTGACAATTAGCAGTGAACCTGAAGAAGCTGTTAAACCCTTTAACCGTCAGATTATTTAACTTCATTAATTATGTGATGTAAAGATAAATTAGAAATTATATATATATATGTATATATATATAAAGTGTCTTCAGATTCTCATAAGAAACTATGTAAAATGCTATGGAAATCATGGATAAGAAAATGTTTACTCTATTTAGACAAGGACACATTGACAGAAATACTTTTTAAAATAATCGATATACCCCTCTTCCTAAATGAACTATATACTTTAACCATATAAAGTATGTTTTCAACAGAAATGTGGAAAAAGTTTAAGGTTTTGATATTGGTGTCATCACCTTATTTTCTTTAATGGTATGTGATACAAATAAAGAACACAGGCAAATAAATGCCTGACTTCTGAAAATTTAAAAAAAAAATTGCTGAGTTAAGGTAAAGAAGCCTTAAATAATTAGAAAGATATACCTAGTTCATGGGTCAGGAAGCATGCCATTATTAACGTCGCTTCTCCCCAAATTGATCTATAATCCCAAGCAATCATATGAAAATCTCAACAGGATTTTCCTTTTGTTTTTGCTTTGTTTTTGGCTAGGATTTGACAAACATTGAAAGTTCACATGGAAATATAAAGAACATAAAATAGCCAAAAATACTCAAAAACAACAAAATTGGAGGGTTCATACTACTTGATTACAAAACATATTGTAAAGCTGTGTTACTCTAAGGTAGTGTGACCTTGGCATCAAGAGAGACAAATACATCAATGGAGCAGAATAAGCTGTTTAGAAACAGGCCCCCACTTACACAAACAAATGGTTTTTGACAAAGCTGCAAAGGCAATTCAAGGCAGAAAGAATAAGCTTTCAACCAAAGGTGCATAGAAATCCAAACCAAGGGTGTTTGGAAATCCAGATGCAAGAAAATGAACCTAGATACACATTTAGTGCCGTGTAAGAAAAATACTCAAAATAGATCATAGATTTGAATGTAAAAATCTAAAACTATAATATTTCTAAAAAACAAACGTAAGAGAAGACCTTTATCACCTTGGGTTGTCAAAGATTACTTAGGACACCAAAAGCATGATCCATATAAGAAAAAAATGATACTCTGGGCTCAAAATTAGAAACTTCTGTTCTTCAAAAGACACTTTTAGGATAATAAACAGATAAGCCACACTGGAGGAAAATGTTTGCAAAGTATGTAGCTCATAAAGGATTTATATAAATCAAAACTGAATTAAAAGAGAAAAAAAATGGGCCAAATACTTCACCAAGGAAGAAATAGTGAGTGATATGGTAGGAGAATTATGGCTTTGCAAATTTATCCATGTCCTAATCCCTAATCTCTGGAAAAAAAAAAAAAAGACTATAGATGTGAGGTAAATTAAGGATTTTGAGGTGAGATTATTCTGGATTATATGGGTGGATCCTAAATGTAATCACCTATTCTTTATAAGAGGAAAGCATTTGGAAGCTTTGGCAATAGAAGAGAAGGCCATGTAATGGGAAAGAGGGAAATAGTCAGAGAGAGAAGATGTTATGCCACTACTGGCTTTGAAGATGGAGGAGAGTGAAGGATCATGAGCCAAAGAATTCAAGAAGTTCAGCTGTAGATCCTGAAAAGAGTAAGGAACAGGATTTTCTGTTAGCACCTTGATTTTAGCTGACTAAAACTGATTTCAGACATCTAGCTTCCATAACTGCTAGGGAATAACCTTCTGTTGTTTCAAGCCAGGTTTGTGGTAATATATTGCATCAGCCAGAGGAGACTAATACAGATGGTGTAAAAGCACCTGAGAAGATGCCCAACATCATTAGCCATGAGGAAAATAATTAACAAACCAACTATAACAAGTGTTGGTGAGAATGTGGAGCTAGAACTGACACACCAAAGGTGGGAATAGGAAATGGTTCCACCGCTTTCGAAGACAGTTTAGCAGTTTCTTAAAAAGTTCATCAACATGGGCCATATGGTGCAGTCATTCCAATCCTAGGTATTTATTCAAGAGAAAAGTTAACCTCTATACAAAGATTTGCATGTGAATGTTTATAGCAACTTTATTTGTAGTAGCTAAAAACTGGCAATGGCCCAAACATCCATAAAGAAGTAAATGGATAAACAAATGGTGGTATACTCATACAAGGGAATGAAACTCAGAAATAAGAAAAAAGGAATGTATGATATGTGAAAAGTATGGGTGAATCTCAAAATAATAATTCTGAGAGAAAGAGGCCAGATCAAATAAAGAGCATACATACTGCAAGATTCCATTTCTATAAAACTGTATAAAATGAAGACTAATCAACAGTGACAGAAAGCAAATAAGTGGCTTCCTGGGAAGAGGGCATAGGAAGGACAGATGGGAGGGACTCAAAAGGAGCATGAACAAACTTTGGGGATGACAGATGGTTTCACAGTTGTATATGCAAGTCAAAAATTACCAAATTGTACCCATATCTAGTTCATTGTATATCAGTGATACTCCAATCAAACTATTAATGATAAATAAATAAAAACACATTTTTGATGATCTATTTTCACTCCAGGAGCTGGACCTAAATGTCAAATTCATAGACTACTAATATTGAGGCATTTGTTTTTTCAGAGTATATAAGACACCCAAAGATTTTAGATGCCTCAACTTGTTTACTCGTTTGATTTGTAGTCAAGTTTCATATTATATTATATATTATGTCTTAGTAAACTCTTCTTCTACTATGAAATAATACCCTGTAGGTAACATCTATTAATTAACAAGCAGTGTTTAGTTTTCTGATTCAATAAAACTACCTCAGGGAGAAACAAATGGTTCAGTTCAACAGAAAAAGAAAATACAAGTTATACTATCTACAAGATGTCTAGAATGAGTAATTGGTAGAACTACAGTAAAGAAAACAGTAAAGGTCTAAGGAAAATTAATATGAAATATAATCATGGGAAATATTTGTGCAGACAAGAATGAGTCACCTAATTTCTATTCCATTCTCAATTCTGTTATTTTATGCTTGCTTCAGCAGCACACATACTAAAACTGGAACAATACAGAGAAAATTAGCATGCTTCTGTGCAAGGATGACATACAGGTTCATGAAGCATTCCATTTAAAAAAAAATTTTAAATAACTTCTAGTATGTCTATGCTCTCTTCATCTTTTAAGTTATTTATAAAACACATTTATGGGGTTACCTGGGTGGCTCAGTCAGTTAAGCATCTGCCTTTAGCTCAGGTCATGATCCCAAGACTCTGGGATCAAGCCCCATGTCAGGCTTCCTGCTCAGTGGGGAGTCTGCTTCTCCCTCTCCTTCTGCTCCTCCCCCAACTCATGCTCTCTCTCTCAAATAAATAAAATCTTTTAAAAAAACACATTTATGGAGTACCAACATATATTTAAACATACTGTTTAACTTCTAAGTACTTAAAGAGAAATAAGAAAGTCCCTGCCCTAAGGAAGCTGACAGGTTAGGAGGTGAGCTCCACAATTTAAGAAAAAAGAAAAAAAAAAAAAAGAAACTAGACCATAAATTAATGCTATGACACTTACATAAAAGGACTTGCTGATGATAAGGGAATCATGAATGGATAATAAAAACGGGAATCATGATTAAAGCACATCCTTTGGCTTAATTTAAACAAAACTGAATTTTCTTGATTATACCAGATAATAATAAAATATTAAAAAGACAACTTCTGTATTTCCTCCTTTTATCTTTCAGTTTTATATGTACAAGTGTTTTGTCTACTGAAGGTGGAATTAGGATTCCTGATTGATGTGGCCAAGTTGTGGCTTCCCATTGTTGTAAAAAGCTGCTGGGTTATAAACCAAATCTACATGGTTCAAAAACATTCTTTTATAACAAATATTGAGCATGCATTTCAAACATTTAAACCATTTATGCAGAACCACTTTTCAAACAGCAAACAATAGCAATGTTCACTACACCATTAAGAGAACACAAAACGATTCTCATTTTGCATTTCCTTTGTCGAAATATTTCACCAAACACAATTCTAACCATAACTTCAAAATCATTTATAATGTGCAAACCTACTACTGAATTATAGAAATCATTACCAGATTTCCTGCCAAGAATTTAAAAAATCTTCAAGGCACTTTCCCGCATGAACCACGTAAAATGGTGGCCGCCTAACTGAAGCTGAACTAATGCGTCCCTTGTCAGAAAATTCCAATAACCCAAACCCAAAAACAGATTCATTTCAATCTGGTGGCTAAAAATCCTGACATAAAAATCCTGAGCTTCCAGCAGCCATATTTCCCACCATGAAAATAAGAATCTTGACAGAATCCTGACACATTGAGAGAGACAGAGCCCTGAGGTGGAAGGAAAGACATTCCTATTTCTTGTTAATAAGAGAACTGCCCTGCAGTCTTGACGGTTTTCTTAAAACAAAGTTGCCAAAACTTTCTTGGATTCTAAGAGCTTAAAGTTTTTGGCTTAAGCTAGTTTGAGTTATAATTTTTTTAAAAATTGCAAAATTTTTGTAAAATCAAAAAGAAACACCATGAAAGACAAAAATATATTAATAATCATTCTTTCTCTAAGGTATAAATAATCATATAGCTATAATAATTAAAGCAATAGGATTCTAGGGATGGAATATAGAAACAGATTAATATAAGAGTATTCAAAACCAGAATTATACCAACTATATATCCATGAGATATATATTTATCTTTAAAAAATGCTACTGGGCCAAGGGATTCCCTAATTGGAAATAGGTATGTTCAGATATGTTCTTGACAGCTGACACTAAAAATAAATTTCAGATGTATTAAAAGTTTTACCTGTGAAAAGTGAATATAAAAGTACCAGAAAAGGACACCCGGGTGGCTCAATCAGTTAAGCGTCTGCCTTCAGCTCAGGTCACTATCCCAGGGTCCTTGGATGGAGCCCCGCATTGGGCTCCTTGCTCAGCCATGAGCCTACTTCTCTTTCTCCCTCCCCTAGCTGCTCCCCCTGCTTGTGCACTGGCTCTTTCTCTCCCTCTCTGAAAAATAAATAAATAAAATCTTAAAAAAAAAAAAAAAAGAGTGCTAGAAAGAAATTTATCTGGTTACTCATGTGAGAATGTGGCACGCCCTTTTAAACATAAGACTACAGCTTGAAGTGAGAAAGGAAGATAGACTTGAATTTGAAAAATTCAAATTTTGAAAAGTTGACTTAAAATAAAAACTTTTACATGAAAAAATGGCAAAAATGATAACATATGTCAACTGAGACAAAGACTTAATGACCTTGATATATAAAATGATTTTTTAAAAAAAGGACAAAAATACATACAGAAAAATAGACTAAGAACACAAGGATGTAATTTTACCAAAAAAAAAAAAAAAAAAGAAAGAAAGAAAAGAAAAAGAATCCATAATAAACACATGGCAAAATAGTCAACTTCATTTTAAAAAGGGATATAATTGGGGCACCTGGGTGGCTCAGTGGGTTAAGCCGCTGCCTTCGGCTCGGGTCATGATCTCGGGGTCCTGGGATAGAGCCCCGCATCAGGCTCTCTGCTCAGCAGGGAGCCTGCTTCCTCCTCTCTCTCTTCCTGCCTCTCTACCTGCTTGTGATCTCTCTCTGTCAAATAAATAAATAAAATCTTTAAAAAAAAAAATAAATAAATAAATAAAAAAAAGATATAATTTTCAACTGTGAGACTGACAGAGATGAATAAATGACTAAAGACAGTATTGGTGAGAGTACAGAACATTTTTACATGCTTTTAACTTAGATATAAATTACATAGCTTTCCTGGAGAACAATTTGGTAACTTAAAACTTAAAATATAGACTCTCTCACTCACTACTCTACTTCTAAGAACTTAATATAAAGAAATAATTATGTAAGTCTATAGGTATAAAAGGACTAGGAGATGCACCAAAAACTTCAATACAGAATCAAATAATATAATAAGTGCTCAAATGCAGAGGACTTGTTAATTATGACAAAAACATATAGTGGCATATAAGGAGTCATTAAAAATGATAATTTAGACACATTTATTGACATAGGAATAGATAAATTATATATTAACTAAAAATGGAAATTTATAAAGCCATACTATTTCTTAGATGTATATACATATGTATATGTGATATTCTATATCCCAAGAATTGAAAGCAGCAGGGAAAACTCCTTTTCAGGATATGAGCTACATGGCAAATATCCAAGCAGTCTCCGTTTCTGCTTACAGGGTATGCTAATAGTTTTACTGTTAAATTTTTTCTACAAAGAATAGTGTACCTATTTATTTCTCTTAATTCTGATGAATTAGTTGCTGACCTAAGAGATGTTAAGCCCTGTGTTAAAATTAAGACTCTAGAGAAATGCTGTATCTTGAATGTGAGAATGGCGAGCCTTTTCTATATTATCCCATCAGCTCGGACAGGCTCTGTTAAGTCTCAGACTCAAGTTTTTCCAAGTCAGCTAAGAGGATTAAAATATGGACACAGAAACATTAGCACTAAGATCTGAGTTTCAGTATCACACAGGACCAAGAATCATGGGTTCATACACAGTGACTCACTGCTACCATTTGCTTTTTACCCCTGATCAGGAGGAAATAGAAGGTGCCACTCCACAAACAACTGCCATGCTCCTTTAACACTGCAACTAAAATCTGTGAAACCAGATGGCTTTGAGACTTGTGGCAGAGGTAGACAATATTCCTCATCCCTCTTTTCCTCATTACATTCCATCCTGTAAATCTCTGTTTCTCTGTCTTCTCCTGGTTTCTAATACCCATACTTCCTTTGCCCTGACCCAAATTTCTACTCCATTACTTCTCCTAGATCCTTGATTTTATCCTCTTGAACTTGTGGGGAAAAAAGTTCCTATCTTCACTAAACCTTTTCTTCCTTTTCTCAGCAGAAACCTTTCTCTGCCCAGCAACTGTGACAGAAGCAGATCTCCTTCAAGGAAGAGCTTACTCACCAGCTGAAGGGAGCATGGTAAGCCACCATCTACAGGGGTCAACTCCTTCCTGGTTGGCCACAGCTGAAGAGAGTCTCCTTGTCTAAAGTCACACTTGTCTTGGGGGCCGGCTGCTCACTGAGTGAGGTAAGGTCAGCCATTTTAACCCAAATATGGGACACTGTGGTGGGCTATCCTCACTCAAGTGCTCCCTGCAGAGTTGGTAAGATTGTATCTGCTCTCCCTTGCAATTTAACTTCTACCTTTGTCAAATTTGACTTCTTCCCTCCTTCCTTTCACAGGTGTTAATTCCTAATAAACAATTTGCCTTTTGAACTCCATTCAGTGTCTGCTTCCAGAAACACAACCTGTGATCATTGGTATTAGTAGTGTTCCAACAAGCCATCAATAAAACGGGACTTGGGAGCTGATCATTCATCACCTGGCTGACAATGAGGAGCCCTGATGGCAGATGGAACACAGCTCTTGGCACAAAATGGGCTTTCAATTGTTAAAACTGTCACTGGCAGTGAACTGGAAGGGTACCAGTGAAATGCGCAGTGAATCTGGTGAGAATATATTTATGCTCATGGGCAGTGATGAATGTCCTGGCCAGTTGTTCAGAAGGGAAAAGACAAGAAACTCAGGAAGAGAAGCTGTCCTGTTTGGCAGGCATAATTTCTCCTGATCATTAGGAAACGTTCCTATACATAGCTGCCAGTACAGTGGGAGCAGGGAGGAATATGCATGGAATCTAGATGATCCTCATTGTGTCTTTTTGTACTTCTCTGCCCAATTTTGAATGTAAATAAATAACTACAGTGACCCCAACCTGAGAAAAACATAGTTAACAAGAGGCTCAGGCCCTGGAGATCAGTAGGGCTTGGGTCATGCCACCAAGTGAGCCAGCAAGGACAAGTTGAGGACAAGTCATTATGGTTCCTCGAATACACAGGAATCATGGTGGGGGGTCTTGCTCCAATCTGAGTCACAATTTCACAATGCCTAGTTCTGAATTGGTTATTACAGAGGGAAAACTAGACATATAGCATTATAAGGATTTACTAAATTGAAGAAATAGTAAACACTTCCTCATTATATCATCATTAGAAATTGCTTTACAGACTAAATACAACCACCTCCCAAATTCCTGAGAAATAATTTTTCTTCTACAAGGAGAG